ATGGTACTTTTACACTTTTACTGGAGTACAAAGCTAAAGTTGATGATCTAACCTCTACAAAAGTTTTTTTTTTTAAACAGTAGGATTTATACTTCTACTTGAGTAATAAACATTAACACCTCTGGAAGGTTGTAAAACTCGAGCCTCATGTCACCAGTTTAAGTCAAGTCTGTTTTTTTTCTGAATTATACATGCCTAAAGTGTAAAACTTGACTTCATGTTTGTAAGTTTCATTTATCATTAAATATGATTTAAAAAATCAAATTTTCAATAATAATTTGACCTAAAAATGCTTTATTATTGTGTGGATTTCTTTACAAAGTACTGTCTTATATACAAATAAAGGGTTAAAAAAGAGAGGCTTCATTTTTTGTCCATTTTCAGTTTCAATTACATTAATGATGTTTTTACCTCAAAATGCTTCTCAGCTACACTCTGGAATATTTTCAGATTCATGCCCCTGGCTCCAGATTATCCTGGCAGGGCCGCTGGGGCCGGGATGGTTGTAACAATAAACAGCTTATGAAGCTCGCTTTTTTTTTCCTCACACGCTCTACAAACATATCCGTGGTAAAATTATAACAATGCTGAAGTTCTCACAAGTCCAGATGATCTTAAGAGTCACAACAAAATGCATTCAGCTCTTTCACTCTACACTCATTTTTTATATTATCATATCTTCTAAAACAATTTCCTTTTTTTATTTTTATTGCTTGAACTAAGCTGGCCCATGGTGGAAAACCTGAGACATGAGGCATGTTGCTTTCTTAAGGCATAGAGATGCTTACAACATAGCCTTACAACCCTGCTTTCAAATGTCATGATTTTAATGAACAATGCACATTTAGAACTTTTTTATTTATTTAACTTTCTTTATCTTGCTGAACAGTGATGCATTCCAAAGCATGATAAAACTGAGAGATAGAATAGGGAAAAAATTGGGAAATTGGGGAATGTTGGCCTAGTGGTTAGAGCAGTGCGCTTGTAATCTGAGGAGGTTGCAGGAACCCAGTTCGATCCCCAAAGCCTCCACTCTTGGTTGCTGAGCAAAACCCTTGACCCTCACTGCTCCCCAGGTGGCGCACAATGGCAGCCCACTGCTCCCTAAGGGAATGGGTTAAATGCAGAGAGTGAATTTCCTCATTTTGGGACAATAAAGGATTTATATTCACATTAAAGATTGTTTTTCTCTTTAAAAACTTCCCTTTCAGGTCTTAGTTTTGTCATGATTTTGGTTCTGTTTAAGTTTTATCTTTGAGCATTCATTGGTTTGATTTCCATCTTGTGTTATTCTAACCTGACTCCGCCAGATGGATTTGCTCCGCATATCCATCAGTGGGGAATCTGGGGGAAACAAACCAAAATAGTGCATTCAAAAGCAGAATCATAGAAAGAAAGCTTGTTAAAGTTATTTTATAACACTAATAATGGAAACACTGCAGCAACAAACACACTGATTATGCACGGCTGCACACAGCCTGCTGACATTAACCTTTATCCAGTTCCTTAAAATTCATTTTTTTAGAGATTGGTGTTAGATTTTAACCTGGCTCCGCCAGATGGATTTGCTCCGCATATCCATCTGGAAACCTTCTGTTTAAGTAATTTTGGGAAGGGGCGAAAATACTGGTTAGCTGATTGGCCTATGTTGGTGATAGACGGGCCAAATAAACCAATCAGATCAACGAAGCATATGACGTAACAGAGCGACGACAAAGAGGAGCCAATTGATAGATCAAACTCTTGCTGAAACCAGTCGGGAGAAGAGCAAAAACATCTTTTCCTCTGAGAAAAGCCTCCAGAGCAGTGTTTTGCTCTTCTTTCAGTGAAGAAATACTCAGTAATTCCCATAAAACTTGCTCGATAGCCACGCTAACGCTAGTTTCATCGGCTGAAACCGCCATGTTCTTAGACTGAACTGTCACGCTTCTCGTTGCGTCACACCTCAACCCACCTCAAAGCCAACGCTGATTGGACGTTTGTTTGGTGAACGGCTCCAAATGTTCTTTAACGGAGAGTCTCCAGACTGATTAGCGACTGAAATCTTGAAAGCTCACGAGATCAGAATGGTCTCACGAGGCTAGTGTTATTCTAGTTCTTAGGTATGTCTTGTTTGCACTTTGTTGCCCTCTTGTGTTGGTCTCCTTTCACCTAGCTCCCTTCTAGACTCCTCTGTTCACACCTGCTCCAAATCTCCTGATTAGCCTCTCTCCCATATATGCACCTCCTGCTCAGTCACTGTTGCTGGTTTGTTGTAATTTCTTTGCCCTTCATGTAAGTTTTTCCTGGATTTAAGTATTTTTGGACTATCTGGATTTTGTAAGTTTGGATTCTGCTTCAGTTACCACTTTTGTTATTAAACTTGCACGAAACCACCTCACCTCAGTGTCTGCATTTGGGTCCTCTTCAAAACCCCCACCCAACCTGACAAGTTTCCTAGCATGTCGAAGCAGTTAGCCATGTGTTGAACAATGTTTAGGGACAATTGTTAAGATGGTGACCAAACACAAGTGGGGCACTATGAGAAAACATTGCCCAAGACAATATTACACCTTAATCAAGCATCTTCTTTGATCAAAATCTAACAAAATGTTGAGATACTTATGTGCTTCACCGGCAACAAGCATCAGACTGTGAACTGGAAAAAAAGAGAAAAACCTTCTTACTAACAGTTAAAGCAGTGGAACGTTCAACCCATCTCCTGCTCCGTCTTACCATCCATCATAAAAGGGTCTGATGTGAAAAAGCTTTTGGTGTATTAAAATGTTTGCATGTGCAAAGCTGAAATTCAAAGCAGGTGCAGTAAATAATGCATGCACACTTTTAATGTGTTTTCGCTTTTATTAATATGCAGATCATATTCTAGCAAATTGTACAAAATACTGGGTGGATGATATGCAAAGTAGACTGCTAAAATAATAAAGTAACCACGTAAAAAACACGATATAACTCAATCAAATCAAACTTTTGTGAATCAAACTAACCACTTAAGAAGCAACACTGATTGACAATCAATTTCACATGCTGTTGTGCAAATGGAATAGAAAACAGGTGGAAATTATTGGCTATTAGCAAGACACTCAATGATTGAGTGGTTCTGCAGGTGGGGACCACAGACCACTTCTTAGTACCTATGCTTTCTGGCTGATGTTTTGGTCACCTTTAAATGTTGGTGTTTTCACACTCGTGGTAGCATGAGTCAGACTCTACAACCCACACAAGTGGCTCAGGTAGTGCAGCTCATCCAGGATGGCGCATCAATGTGAGGTGGGGCAAGAAGGTTTGCTGTGTCTATCAGCGTAGTGTCCAGAAGCTGGAGGCACTACCAGGAGACAAGCTGGTGCACCAGGAGCCATGGAGGAGGCCATAGGAGGGCAACAACCCAGCAGCAGGGCCGCTACCTCTGCCTTTGTGTAAGGAGGAACAGGTGAATGAACTCCAGCAAGCCACAAATGCGTGTGTCTGAACAAACGGTTATAAATCAACTCCATGAGGATGTATGAGGGCCTGATGTCCACAAATGGGGGTTATGCTCAAAGCACAACACCGTGCAGGATGCTTGGTATTTGCCAGAGAACAGCAACCTTGGCAAATTTGCCACTGGCACCCTGTGACCTTCTCAGATGAAAGCAGGTTCACACTTGCACATATCCTCAATCTCACAGGTGTAGCCGATCGAGATGCTAATTACACAGTATGATCATCCTATAGGTCCTGGCCAAATATGAAAGGCCATTTTTATTGGCTTAAATTATGCTCATCCTAAAGTCTTATAAAGCTGAAGGTTAACGAATTAGCATTAGCCTCGAGATTTAGCAGGTTCTTAAAACTAGCAGATTTAAGACATGAGGTTACTGCAGATTGGAAAATAAAGCTGGTGCTCCAGGATCTCCCTAATTCAATAGTATTCTGTGGCACCTTTAAGGTTTACACCACAGCATCACTTAAATACAGTGTGTGATGCTTTGCAGGCACATACACTGCATTTTATTGAATTTAAGGATGAATTGAAGTTGCTTTAAATAGATTACTACCTTAAACGATCAGGACATGCTTCTTCAAAATAAAGGTGACAAAGAAGTCTATGTTTGGACGTGTGTGACACCTTTGTTTCTAGATGTTGGAGCTTGGCCTGTTTTCCAGTGTAGTCCTGTTTCTCTGACTGTGACTAACTGGATGTGCTCTCTTCATCCTCTGACATGGGAGCTGGCTCGGAGCTCGTCTGCCTGGCTGTGTGTTTCCTGGACGGGGCCGCCTGTGGAGCTGGTTGACAGTTGCCTTTTGTATCTATGCTTCTTTTTCTATGTCTGCTTCTGTCTCCTTGAACCCCAGTGGGCCTCAGCAGATGGCCGCTCACACTGAGCCTGGTTCTGCTGGAGGTTTCTTCCTGTAAAAAGGGTTTCTGTAACAGCTTATTCCCCACTGCTATTAGACTGCAGAAGGTTTTGTAAAATGTGTTATTGTATTGTACTTTATTAAATTAATTATATTTTATCAATATATATATATATATAAATATATATATATATATATATATATATATATATATATATATATATGAATAAAAAAAACTGAAAATATTTGAACTGTGGATTACAAGTATATGTTTATATTATAGGTTTCTTCCTGTTCAAAGGGAGTTTTTCCTCTCCACTGTCGCTACAAGCATGCTTAGTGTGAGGGATTGCTGAAGAGTCAATGAGTTTATGCAATCAACTGGTTAGATAGAAAACTTTGAATCAATCTTACTGGATGATCTGGTGAACTGGAAAGTGAATTGGCGCTATAGAAATAAACTGAATAGAACTGAATTCTCTGTGTATTGCTTTCCTGCCAGCAGTACATATTTTAAAACCGGATGTAAGTTAGCAATATTTTTTCCCATAAAAAATGTGAAAAATGAAGCCCTTTCCCTTAAAAGAAGGAAAATAGGATTTAAGAATTCACCTCAGCGAGACTCCTAAGATGCCTTTCTTTCATCATATAAGCTAATAGCTAACATTTGGCTAACATGATACCTCTCACTGATCGTTACAAAGCAGAAATATTTAAAGCTTGAGAGTTTAGCTGCTAAACACACTGCAGGAACACTGAACAACATTCAGGCTTCGACTCATCCTACTGATCTCTTTATATAGATGATTAAACAATCATAAAACACAACATGGAAACCCTTTTTCACAGATATTAAATCGGAACAAGTAGCACTAAGTTACATTAGACCGTAAAGTCATTTTCTTTTAAAGAATTTGAATAAGAATACTGCAACAAAGCATAAACTCTACAACCACAGGTCACATATATCTGTGTATGCGGGGGTGTTTATACTGTAGGGTGTAACAGTGTCTCCAGCCCCCCTTCCTCTCAGAAAACAGCTGCTGTGATTTTTTTCAGACTTTCACAGACATTATGCTAAGCAGCAAGGCACAAGGCTGCATGTTAAAAAGCTACAGATCACTGACTTTCAACATTCATGGTTAAACTTTAAAGCTGATATGTAGCTGGATAACACTTTGACTCAGAAACACTTTAAAACACATAACAAAAGTCATCATCTAAACCTTAAACACGGGATGTCAGAAGTGAGTCTGATCGTTTTTACAGTAAGGAGCTGTTCACAGCAGACAGACAGTGGATTGTTCACGGCAGCTTTAAATCCTCCAATTAGAAGGTTGGTAGTAACTCTAACATTGTAATGCGATGTTCAAGAAACACAACGCAGGTTTCCAAACCTCTGAGCTGATAAGTTATTCATTTTTACACGTGTCGTTTGGATCTGTCGGGTTCTGAAACAGTGCCTCCTTTGATGTGCAGTTTGGATTCAGGTTAAAACCGTCTGCAGCATTAAGAAAAACCTTTGTGTGTTCAGAAACGGTGCTGCCAGCTGTTGAAGTCAATGTTTTGACAGATGAAAGATGAGCCAGTCGCTGCTGGTGTTTTCAGTGATTGCCAGAACTTCTCAGAAAAGCCCGCAGGGGATCTTTAGAGCCCCCCTTTCACGGAGATATGCACTCATTCTGCATGCTGGATTTTCCAATGCGGTCCTGCTCAGAGAGATAAGAATTGGCATTCGGATCAAGTCGCACAGAGTTCCTAAAAGTTCAAGTTTAGAATTGATCATTTGGAGAACTCCTGTCATCATCAGCTTGGAGCTGAGGTGGAGGTGTAGAAAAGAAGAAGCCCCTCTGTTACAACCCGCCACAGCTTTATTCACATCATGCCGGTCTCGTGCTCTGGTCCAAAATAGACTCTGTGCGAATTCACACACATTATGTCACTAAAAAAAATGTGTGAGCCCCCTTTTCTGCACGGGGGGGGATGCTGCGTTGACAAGCAGAGGCTGTGAAGATCAGAGCTGACAGCATCTGCCTCAATTTAGCCCTAAACTGGAATGTGTTTATCTTGATGAAGAGCTCTTTGCTGCAGTTCAGCTCTGATGTTTGATGAACATTTAAACTAATCAACTATTTTCTACTACGGTGCTGTTGGTAAAGGCAGCGCTCACGGAAGAAAGACCAAATTCTCTAGGATGATGTTACAGTAAAACAAAGAGAAGCTGTTCCCTGCAGCTCTGTGAACAGTCAGCTTGCACATTTCTAGTGCCATCTGCCAAAACCCTGCCTGTGCTCTGGGTCTACTGCAGGTTGCTACTGGAGAAGAAACTCGAAGTCTCTGAAACGGTCTTGGAAACACTCCGTGATGAGGACCCATTGGAAGTGAGATCCAGAGAAGAGCTATGTGGTTGTCCCCCAACAGAAGCCCCTCCAGCCACAAGACCTCCTTTAGCTTTGCCCTTCAGCTGCTCTGATTCCTCCCCAGCATGAAGAACAGTGGAAACTGTGGTATCCATTCGGCTCCCCTTGTAAACGCTGGTCTGGGTCTGCAGGTATCGGGTAGACTTTAGTTCTAGTCCTTCATATGAGCCTCGAGGAACACAGGGGCAGCAGCGGAACGCCTGTTTGAAACCCGCACGGAACCTGAAGACAAAAAACACAAAGAGGATCGATGCAGGTAGTTATCCAGGCAAGTGGCAATACTTGTCTTTGTCATGCCTTTAACACAAGACATCTGAAGGCTAAAGTGGAAGTTTCACCTCTACAAACATGAGTGTCGGCAGATCAGGTCGATAAAAATCTTTTCTCTGAAGAGTTTTTTAAATGACGTTTTTTTAAAGTTTTCTAAAGTTTAAAAAAAAAATAAAGTAAGGAAAACCACAGGAACAGATAGTATCTTACCTACAACCAATATCAAATAAATTAGAAAAGAATCCAATAGGAGTAGATCATGACAATCTAACTAAAATTATTCCAAAAAAGTTAAAACAATTAGATGTCCTTTATTTAACATAAGAACTCTTTCTTTCAAAAGTCTGTTAGATAATGACTTGATATATGACCGTAAAATTGATTTATGTTGCCTTAAAGAAAACTGGTTGCAACAACAGGATTATGTTAGCAAACGAATGACTCCCGGCAGTCATTTCTATACTTTCATATACCAAAAAATTCTGGATAAGGAGGCGGAGTAACAGAGTTTTTTTGGGCTGATTTATTGATCTATCCAAAGCCGGTTAATTGTCACAGTTCTTTTGGACATTTAACCCTTATTTTACTTCATCCAAAAAGCAAAGCAACAAAACCTCTTCTTATTGTAGCTTTGTATCGTCCACCAGGTCCTTACTCTGAATTTTTAGTTAGCGTTCTTATCTGATTTGGTGTTAAATACGCGCAGAGTCATCATAGACACATCCATGCTGACATTGAAGGTCAAACGCAGCCCTTAATGCTATCTTAGCCGCTATTGGCTTTGTTCAAAATGTGAATAGTCCCACACATTCTCATCTTCAGACTTTGGATTTTGTACTGATATGGCATTGAATGTGAAGAAATGTACAGTGATTACTCACAACCCTGTCCTAATAACTTTTAAAATTACTTAAAAGGAGTTCTCTTCCCCAAAAAGAGGGTTTCACTTTAGCAGATAATTGTCAGATAATGCAGTTATACATTATTTAAGAATCTGTTTCACATTCTCTCTCCTCTGTTTCCCTAAGCAGTGCTGCAAAGGGCAAACATTTGATTGATTCCCCTTTCAGAAATTAATAATTTTGTTGATAGGTTTGCTAGTTCTCTGTGTACTGCCTTAGACAGTACGCAGCCCATGTGAAAGCGCCAGCTTTCTAAGAAAAACTTGGCGCCCTGTTTTGATGCAGAGCTGTGCAATTTCAAGCAAAATACTAGGAAAATGGAGACAAAATGGCGCTCTGCATGCCTACGGGAATCCTACCCTGTATGGAAAGGCAGTTTAATGATATATATAATAACCTATCATAAAACAACAGCAGCATAACTGTCCTCATTAATAGAGGAGAATAAGAATAATCCTAGATATATTTTTAATACAGTTGCCAAACAAGTATGCAACCACTTACACCACAATGAACTTTTTGAGCTTTAGAGTTCATCATAGCACTAAAACAGCTCTGGTGAAAGTCACTAATGATATTCTCATGGCCTCAGATAATGGACTCATCACTGCTCGTCTTGTTGGATCTCAGTGCTGCATTTGATCCAGTTGATCATAATATTCTTTTAGAAAGACTTGAATATTTTGTAGGAATTAAAGGAACAGCTATCAGGGTTCTGCCCTCTGTTTAAGTTTATTTTTAGTTTCTCTGTAAATCTGTGTCTTTGTTTTATGTCAGTTTTGTATTTCTTGAGTTGCTCTCTGCTGCCCCCTTGTGCCAGCTTCTTTCCCTTTAGATCCCTTCTAGTTAGTTCTATTCACACTTGCTCCGTATCAGCTCATTAGCCCGTCCTTTGTTCTGTTCGCCATATATACACCAACTCTGCAGTTCCCCATTGCTGGTTTCTTGTATTGTTGCACGTGTTTTCAGTATTTTGTATTTTCCTGGATATTGCCCTCAGTTTCCTACAAGATCTTATCAAATCTGCAAACTTATCTCTGCCTCCTCATCTCTGCATGTGGATCCTCAGAATCCTCCACACAAACCTTGACAACAGCAATAGGCTGTTTTAAATCTTATTCACTTAAATCTTATGTTAAAGTATGATCATTGCTACTGTTACTAGAAGCAACGAGGAAGAAAACTGTACTGTTTTAAGAATCAAAGGTAGTTACATTTCTCAGGTTTATTCCATTATCTAAGTGACAAAAGTTGACATAAAAGGCAAGGCATGAGCTCAGACAGGGAGCATGTATTAATTGCCTCATTGTAATGAATCTGCACACAAAACTCTACAATTGTGCGTGGAGAGTAGTTTACATGTATCTCCTTTAAATAAAACAGCTTTCTGCTTTTAAGTATTTATCACCTTAGTTGCACTTTTGTCAGAAATCTGAAAACAAATAAAAATACTGTCTAAATGAAGGAAAAATATAACTGCTAGTAAAAAAAAGAAGCCCAAAACAGATTGCTACCAGATTTGGCTTCTTTCAATATATGATACTAATTCAAAGCTTCAGCTGCTGAGAAGGAGCTCAATAGAAAAATTGGCAGTTCAAGTTCCAGATATTTAATCTAATGGATGAGATTGAATGTCTTTTTTTCTGGCTGTGCAAAAACACATTTGTTTGAGATCATAATAACATCATTAAAAAAAACGAGTGCGGTGATATGCTTCACGAAATGACTTATTATTCAAGGAGCTTGAAATGAAAGTTTAAAAACAATAGCATAGTTATAATCTGACTACACTGTTTGGATTAGTCATAATTTAATGGTCCACAGCATCAAAGCATGCACATTCAAATGCAGGAAACTTGCCTCCTCATAGTTTATTTTACTGGATCCACTATATTGGGTTATTTTTACAAAGTTTACAAGAGGCTTTGAAATGTCATGTTACACAGGCAGGTGACCTGCACATGGTCATAATCTGACTGGGCTGTTTAGTGACAGCTTGATGAAATACCACAGCAACCCTGTTTGTAAAAAGGAACGCTACCGCAGGTTATTCATCCCTGATATAACCAGACTCTACTATGTGACTACAATGGCAATAGCTTGTGCAATGTATAATGTGCAATTACTAACCTGTTTCTCTGTATCTGACACCCAGTGCAAGAGTATCTATCTATCCAGTGTATTCTCATTATTATTATTAGTTCGTATGAAATCGTATGAAAAGTTATGCACCGTAATTTCGTACGTTTTGGACGTTTTGTTCGTCGTATGCGCATGCGCATCTTACGCACCATTCAAGAACATAGAATTTAAAATACAATTAACCCTAACCCTAAGATATAAAACAGCAAGCAACGTAGTTAGAGACCTGAAGAAGTGATTATTGCACTGTTTTTCCCAGTTTTACGTCCGTCCGCGGATCTCCTTTTTTTGTCTGTCTGCCTGCGCATGCGCACTGATCTGTTTTTTGAGGAAAAACGTCCAAAACGTACAAAATAGTGTGCATAACTTTTCGTACGATTTCATACGAACTGATAATGAGAATATGTCGATCGATCTATCTATCTATCTATCTATCTATCTATCTATCTATCTATCTATCTATCTATCTATCTATCTATCTATCTATCTATCTATCTATCTATCTATCTATCTATACTACATTTGTGAGGTAAATGCTCAAAACAGATTCGGCTACTAGTAGCAAGAAAAAAGATAACTTTGTCTTGGCTCAAGCTTTTGCCTCCCATCTTTCAGCAGTGGCAAGAAAGATTGAAGAATGTGTATATAATGGAAAAGATAACAGCAAAACTTCATGTAAAAATGGACATGAGTGAGTGTTTGGACCCCACTTTGGATGGCCACTCTGATAAAGATGCTAAGTGTTATAAAAAGCTGCTAGTCCCCTTGACATGTCTCTCGCTTTTAATGAAAGACACTGGATATAAACATTTCTCTTTCATGTGAGCCGATGAGAACCTCTAAATGTCAATTGCCAAAATGGACTTAGATGTTTGCTGAGACCCCCCCCCTTGTTTGTTTTTTTGTTTTTGTTTTTTTCTTTATGTAAGTGCATGCATAAATATACAAATGTATGTGTGTTGGATTCCTAATAATCTTAACCCCTAGAACCCTACGGACCCACCGGTGGGTCCAGCTGCTACATGACCTCGTAATTTTAACAAACCCCCAAACATAGTTGGCACAGTTTGGTGACATTTATGGATAAATGTGCCAAAATGGCCTCTCCGCCTAAGAAATTTCTCACTAATACCATTCTAAAATAAATATGATTCATCTGATTGAGTCCAAATTTGGTATATTTTTACACAACATTTAGATTTAAAAGTCTGTACTACTTTTTTGTGCTATAAATAATATTTTGGTAGTGTTTTGCAATGTTTATTTCAAAGAAAATTTTGGCGAGGTTCAAAAAATGCAAAATATTTTGTATTTTGTCCCTAATATTTCAGGCAGGGTCAAAGCTACAATGGTGCTGACACCAGAAAACCATTCTATGACATCTTACCTTTACAGACGTACCAAAAGTTTCTTCTTAAATCTAATAGCTTTGAGGCTATAAGTTATTTACTTTCGTGTGTTTTTGTCAGGCAGAAATTTATTTATACCCCCTGAGGGTGTAAGAGGTTAAATAAAGAATGTTCAAAAAAAAAAAAAAATGGCCAGAAAACGACAACTTTACGGCATTAACAGGAGAAGCGGTGCAAGTGAAATTAGATACTGTCATCAGACAAGATGCGGTAATTTATAAATGTTTTAAATAAGCTTGGGTCCAGATTAGCCAGCAGGTGGGTCCGGATCCAGACCCTGGTCCACTAATCCATGACCTCTGGTATATACTGTATGTTTCCCATGCACCTTTTTCTTCCTTTGGCACATTCTTCTTCTTTGACTATTGGAGCTCAGTAAGTTTCTCCACTGTGAGATCAATAAAGTCGGTCAATCAATCAATCAATCAATCAATCAATCAATCAATCAATCAATCAATCAATCAATTAATCAATCAATGCAGAGTTTAGCAGGAGACAA